TCTCTCTCTCTCTCTCTCTCTCTCTCTCTCTCTCTCTTTCTTTTGCAGTGCTCAAGATTGAACCCAGGGATTTGTGCATGTAGGCAAGTGCTCTACCACTGAGCAATCCCCCAGACATTTGTAAAGGTTTTCTAACATTACTTCTGACAGCCCCCACTGCGAGTCCTAAGAGGAGGTTATGCTAACTCCAATTTGCTGAATGGAAACTTTAGGCCCAAATGGCATGCAGCTGGAATGTAGCAAGGAGGGGACTCTACCCATCTCCAAGATCTCCATGTTTTCCACTCCATTAAGTGACAAGGGAAGAGAGGGAGGAGATGCAGTTATGTGAGTTCCACAAAATCTAGCATGGCTTCTGGAAAGTCCCAGCAAGATATGTGACTTTCCAGATATGGTGAGAAATACACAGGGACAGGGGAGTTGGTCCTCAGAGAACCTGTCCACTTTATAGTGTTCCAGGGACCTTCTTCCTGCTTCTTTAACCTCAGGCCTCAGTCTGCTCTCAGCTTCCTGCTGTGTTGCCTAAGCTATGTCCTCTGCAGGGATGAGCAGCTCTTCTTACCATGAGGCTGGTCCACGTGCCGTTCTCACCCACCCTTAAAGGGTAGCTGGACTAGTGTTTCCCCAAGTGTATTCAACAGCATGGCACTAGGGGTTAAGATAGAAAGATGTGCTGGGCTTGGTGGCACACATCTGTAATCCCAGCAGCTCGGGAGTCTGAGGCAGGAGGATGATGAGTTCAAAGCCAACCTCAGCAAAAGTGAGGCGCTAAGAACTCAGTGAGACCCTGTCTCTAAACAAAATACAAAATAGAGCTGGGAATCTGATCAGTCCCTGGAACCTCCCCCCACTCCTCCCCACCAATAAAGATAGAAAAATACATTGTTAAATTTGAGTAGCTCTGGGAAGTTCTCCTCTACTATCTCCTACAATGAATAAAGATAATATTGCCAACGACAGATTTATTCAACTGCTGAGAAAACAATAGCAACTTGCTAGGTAAGGGGATGCTTTGGCAGGCTCAGGGGACATGAATGAGGGGAACTGAACCCAGACACACACATTTTAGTGGTGTTTCCATCACCTCTCTTTTTCACATTCTTCCCATACATGCCAGGGTGGTAGCAATGAGGCACACTTAGGAAGCTGCCAGTGGCTGCCTTGGCACTGGAGCCCAGGAAGGGGGAAGGAATTGGAGACACCAAGTCCAAGGGCTCTCACGTAGGGCTTCAGCTGAGCCTGGTTCAGTTTTCTTCCCAGAGAGGTCATTTGATCTGCTTTGAAAGGAATTCCAAAGAATATGAGTAAAGACCTCACCAGGAAGGACTGACATCCTAATTAATGGGTGGGAGTAAATGTTTCTAAGAAAAACATGGCACAGAATCTTCTTTGTGCATTGATTATGGATGATAATGTTGATTTAAAAATCCAAACATTTGTTGCTGGACACTACGTGTTTACCTTGCAGAGCAACCGTGAAGAAGGTGGATGTCTCCTTTTACAAATAAGGAAAGAGAGTAGAAGTCAAGTACCTTGTCCAAGGTTATCATGTGGTGAGAAGTGGATGTGGGATTTGAGACCAGGTCTTCTCAATTCCATGACAGGCTTCCTGTTAGACCACAGTTACCTTACCCTTATGTGGCATTTAAAATAATTTCAAAGGACTTTCACTTACATTGCATTCTGCAAAGTTCATGACAAACCAGTGAGATAGAAAAGGGTTGACGGATTGGAACACAGGCTTAATGTGTTAAATCATGGCCAAGGTTACCCAGCCTGAGTGCAACCTACTATTCCAGTTGCCTTTCTTTCCCTCCACTCATGCTCAGCTTCCTTTCCTACTATCCTTAGGGTTACAAAGTCATCTTGAGAGCAGCCAGGGCCCAGCATAACTTATTTCTTCCATGTCCTCAGACAGAGTACCACCAGTAGCTAATCCCACAGTATTTACTGTGTCAAGTTCTTTACTAGCATTTTATTTTTATATTTATTTAACTTGTTTAATTTCCCTACAATCCCGAAGTATCTATTATTATTAGCCCCATTTTACAGTTGATAAAACTGGACACATAAAAGTTAAGAAAACTTGTCCAAGGTCAAAGAGCTGGTAAGTGGTGAGCAGGGTCCAACCAGGTGGACAGGTCATAGGCAAGCTGCAGACCAGAGAACTGAGAATAAGCTCCTGAGCACTTGAAACTCCTTGACTCCATTCCTTCACAGTTCTCAGACCAATCCTCTGCTTAGCCTGGCTTGTCCGGAAACTATCACAGAGGGACGGATCCTAGCTACTACCTTGACTGGAATTCTGAAGATAGCCAGCCATCTGTTGTGTGGGGAGTCTAGAGTCGCTCCCTCCTACTCTTGTCATGCTGTGTGAAATCTCACATGGGCTCAGCAAGTGGAGTTTGCTCTTGCCATGTGTGGTGGGGCTGGGCATGGAGGGCGTGGCGTGGGGATGGGGGATGGCTGAGCTCCCAGAAGTCAGAAGAACTGTGTGCGAGTTCTTCCATCAAGGGTCCTCCATCTCCCACTCCCTGTCCCAGAGGGAATACCTATGGTCTAGACAAGGGCTTTCCAACTTCCTGGATTCTAAGGATTATCCAGAGGGCTTGTTAAGAAATACAGACCTGGGCTGGGGTTGTAGTGCACTGGTGGAGTGCTTGCCTAGCACAAGTGAGGCACCACATGAAAATAAATAAACTAATTAAATAAAGGTTTTGTGTCCATCTACAACTAAAAAGTATATATATTAAAAATTATATATATAAATTTTATATAAGTATACATACATATATATGTGTGTGTGTGTATATATATATATATATATATTGCAAATAAAGAGCTTGGTAGAGGGGTCTGTATTTCTTTATATATATAGAATAGAAAAATACATATATATATATATACACACACACACATATATATATATATATATATATATATATA